ACAGTCATAAAGAGACAATCCTCCCTCTCTTTCCTTTCTGCATAAGGGAAACTTTTTGCTGATAAAGAAACAAGTCTCAACAGCAAGGCTCACCATGCATGGCAGCAAACCTCAGGCATTTCTTGACAAGGACATCTGAAATGGCCAAATTACCCTAAGCGTTGACCACTATTTGTCTGTGTCCAACACTACACATAGCTAAAGTCCTAGGAAGACATCTCTTCACTCACAGTGGACTTCACAATGTTTACTTCTTGTTTACCTTCCCCATTTCACCTGAATATACACTTAAGGGCTAGGAGATGTTTTAAGACCTTCAACAGCCAGAGCTGGTCAGGTATCTGGTAGACAAGTCAAGTCTACTGTCCAACCACTGATATGAATAGAAGGGAATGCCAAGAGCAGAAGGCAACCAGTTCTGTACAGCAGCTAGAGAGAAGTAGTGCTTCATACCAGAGTATTATGGCATACAAGTCTGAGAGAGTCCAACACTTCATACCAGTTTTTGACCAGTTCTTCCACCACATCAGAAGACTTCTTTCATAACTTCCCCATTCTTGGGGTAGAAAAAGAAACCATTTTTTCTCGCTCTCCTGCTCCCAGTCCTGATATCATAGCATGAGGTAGATTATATGTTTTCACTGTTCTGTCACCTCACTATCACTACTTTCAACCTGCTGATTGTTGCTGTGGGGATGATTTTGTTATTCTGCTTTCCTTCCTCATCAGTACAACCTCCGGCTCTGCAGCAAGAGATCAGAAATTCCCAGTTTTTATCAGTTTAATTGCTGCCCACACAGGTCTGATTTTTCTTACCAGCAATGAGAAACAATAGTGATAACAATAGAGGTGACAGGGCTTTCCATAGATTCAGGAAGACAACTCTGCCCTAAACCATGAGGTTATATCTGCATGGCCAACAACCCAGGATAGAGTTTCTGCCTTTTCAAAGAAAATTCAGACTATGCAGAAATTGACAGAGCTCTCCTAAAAAGTTATTTGCCCTGATGTGTGGACTATTCAAGCTTTATATGAACTGCTTAGCCTACAGAATTGCTCATAGATGAGTTCATTCACCAAATGAATCCATAACTACAGGTAACTATGTTCTAATCTTCAGATTCTCTAGTGTTCAATCTCATAGTTGCTTTTATTTTGCTTTGGCAGACCTATGAACCCAACAAAAGTCATTAAAACAAAACATGCTCATCTTTACTGACACTAACGAACCAGACCAATAGCTCAACAGCCTTTATGAACTACTGACTATACCTTCACTTAAGGCCTAAAGAAAAAATTTCCATCACACCACCTTAGCTCATCTTATACCAGCAGTCTGACCTAAACTCCCAGAACCCTTTGCACCTGCTAGAGGAAGGATAAATAAATGAGAAATCAAAAAAATCAGGTCAGTAAACTAAGTCCAGACACAATATTCTAGAGCAATCTATGAAGAAAGTGATGAGTATACTTACTGGCATCCAGACGTTCACTTAGGAAATTGTTTTCTGTTAGGGACGTGAGATATTCAGAGTATGGCACCACTGGCCAGAAACCATAACAGCGAGAATTTTTTTACTCATTTATATGAATAAATCCTAGCTTTGTATAGTTGAATATCCATTCAACTGCTTGAACTGCATGTGCTGAAGCACATCCCTACCCAACTGGTGTGATGGAATGGCAGTCTGCACATAGACATGACTATTCATGAAAATATATGTGTGCACTTTGGACCTTGCATTGGAAAATCCTCCTCTGCGCAGCTATACATGTAGAAACAGATGAGCAAGATATACAACAGTAGATAGACCTATCTGCATATGAAGAGGAAAAACCATCAAGCTTTGTACATTCAGATATAAACAAGAAACGTAATAGTCATTACACTGGCTAATTGTGCCTGTGGTCATCCAAGACAGACTTGGTTAGATAACAGGGAAATATAATGTCAAAGAGCCTGGAAGAAATAGACTGTTGTGTTTGACTATTTTCCATGTACAAATTAGCACAGTGAAAAAAATAAATGCTGCAGAAAAACACATGTACTTTGTTACAATTGCTAGTGCTAAGTAAGTAAGTAGTGTTCTGTAAGTACCTTAACAACATGCAAGAGAGCTAAAAACCACTGAAAAGATGCAAACAGAAAACGTAAATGTGATTAAATGCCTTTCTGACATGAAATGTTTTGACTTCAAGTTTGGATGAGCACATTATGGTTTTAGCCGCATTTTCTTTGAGTTAGACAGTCATGATTTGTTTGTGATAGGCTTTTATTTTTAAATCAATAAAAATGGAAATCTTTCTTTGGAACAGAATTCCTGCTCTCTTTTGTTTCTTTTAAAATTGGTGTGTTAATACTTCCTTAGCATGCAAACAGTCACAGAGCAATGAACAAAATCCTCCAAATTCCTGGTCTTAGTCTGGAAAGTGAGAAACTATCTTAAAAAGTTACTTTCAGTTTGATTTTACTTTCTGAAGATTTGCACTAAGTGTTATAGCTCACTGTCTCAGAAGTACCTATGAAGGTACCTAACTCTCATTTATGCCAGGGAACTTGGATGGCTGAGTATGCAGCAAGTTCTGTGGCAGTAAAAAAGTGAAGACATTGCTCAAGTAACCTCTTTGCCACCATCCAAGGGAAAAACAGTAGTATTTCTTCCTAACAAAGGCTAAGAACCCTGGCAGACTGCTACAGTCACTGCTACACCCCTCCAAAGAGTCTGCCTTGAAATACACTATATTTGCTGGCTAATGGAGGGAACAGAAGAGAGAGGTTATTGCTGATGCTGGCTCTGGACTCGTTCATCGTTTTAGCATTATCAGCACAAGAGCTGGATTTATGTGTGGGCTTCTTACTTGTGCAACTATGCAGAATAAAGCACTGAAGATGCTACTTTTGTCTACAGTGTCTTACTGCAAATATAGCAGGCTGTGATAAATCATTGTGAGACTAATTCCATGAGCATTTGCTACCTAGCCTTAGCACTTACAGCCGTGAACACTTCTACCGCCATACTAGAAAACTACAGGTCTACAGCCTGCTCATGTTGCTAAGTGTTGGCAAAACAGTGGTTTCAGAGGCATATAAAGAAAAACATAAATCCAAATGTAGATTTTCATACTTCTCAACTTATTCCACCCACCTGACTAGAGGCTACTATCTATGAGGCTAATAGCCAGTCGTCACAGGCCAGATCCAATGCCTTTTTCAGTCAATGAAAATCTCAAAAGCTTCAGTGTGTTTTCTACCATGTCCTGCACGAACTCGCTCCACAATAAACTGCAGTAGTAACATGTATATCAAGGTATCTCACAACTAATCCCTATCTCTGTCCAAGTTAGAAGCCAAATTCTTGCATGTTTATCTAATCTCCGGCTGAAACTAAGTAAGAGATTTTCCTGCGTAAGGAGGGAGTAAAAGAACGCCCCAATTCAACAAATAAAATTAAGTTTGCTTCACATCACTGTTCTTAAGACACACAGAGATCTGAGGGGTGATAGGGTCTTTCAGGACTGAGGAAGGCATGCAAATACAAACTAGTCTAGTATGGAACATAATGTATAATAGTTGGCAAAAGAATTCACTATTTATTTTCATGAATTAGGGACTGAGAACTTAATTCACAAGCAGCAGAGAGAGGTATAAATGTTATGAGTTTAACATAGAGACAAATCCTGCAGTTCTTACACAGTCTTGTTCAGTCATATATCCTGTTGATCTTCCCCAAAGTAGTACTGCAGGATTTGCTTGCAGTATATTATAGTCATCAGGTAATAAACTTCTCATTTGCATATGTGAAAGAGAACCTAAGCCTGTCTTTAGGCCATTTTATATGAATTCTATATTTTATATTGAAAATAGATCTTTAAATAATCCTGACTTTTCATTCCAGATGGCATTCTTATATCCAGTGATCTATTGCTAGTGATTATATATCAAAATTTTTTACAAAAAAAAATACAATAATTTTTAATAAGTATTTTGAATAGGGTTATCCTACTGGTTTAGGTCCTCATAATGCTACTAAATAATGTGGTAAGTTTAATTTACAGTGACTAGCATAGATTGTTTCATACAGATAAACAAGAAGAAGCAAGCTGCTGAAAAGTTAATTTTTTTTTAAGTTTCTTTGCTATTTGACTGTATGCCTTCAGTCAAATCTTCAGAAAAGTTTCATTCACATGTATGGCAAGAACACTGTGCTATTAAAAGTGTGTGTATTAATATTCTCCCTACAGATTTTCTGACAGTAAACCCGCAGCTCATATCTATGAAATTAAGTATGAGTCACAATGGAACATTTATTTTCAATCAAGCAGCACAGCTACAGTACTCAGCAGCAGAGCATCTTATCAGCTAATTGGTGGAAGTGTGCAGGAAAATCACATACTAACAATCAGTTTTATAGCCCTGAAATATACCAGATATCACATAACATATCTTCCAAAAGTTAGCATTAAACTTGTTTCTCTAATGAGTTGCAGCGATAATGAGAGCTAATTTAAACTGGCTGCAGAAAAAATGTTCAGTATATGCTGTACCTGCAGAAAAAATGTTCAGTATATGCTGTACCTGGTTTCTCTGCATGTGCACAGGAAAAAATACTTTCTCTTTTCTTTTTTTAGAAAGGAATAAAATTCCAGGAACGTTACAGCATGATATAGTTTGCTTTAAAGGGGGGGAGACACAGCTCTTATCCAAATTCCAAGCATTCAAATCACCACTCACAGGTCCTTGCACACCAAGTTTATAAAAGTGATGCCAACATCAACCTTTTGATTCTACCTGCAGCAACCTACCATAGCAAGCCTTGACGCTTTCAATACTTTAGAGAGGGTAAGATTTATGTAATTTATTTAAAACATTTTCTTTCTACTTGCAGTCGTAGAGATTAAAAACATACGCACTTGCGCACACAAATCTGCAAGCATATATACATACAAATAAAATAACAGCTACAAGGGACATGTATTTTCATGAAAGAAATGCCATTTACCAGGACAAGGGAAGCCAGAAGCACAGTGCCAGCAGTTGCCCAATTGCAGCCCTTCATGGTTGCGTCCGTGGTGGAACTGGAATCGGACACTGAGCAAGCTGCGAAGTTCTCCTCTGCCTGGTGTCACATCCAGTGCTTGTGTGAGCACTTCAGCCCTGCTTCTCCGCCTCCATCAGCCCTGCTCACATTTCCTGATCCAGGGGTGGGTGGGTGGATTTGGGGGAGCTGTGTGGAAGCACTCCTTGAGCCGCAAGCAGCCAATCCCCCTCCTGCTAATCACACACGTAGCATAACAAAGCCAAGCGAAATAGAGAAAGTGTAACAGTGAAAGACAGAGGGGAAGGAAAAAAGAGACAGAGGAGGAGGAGGAGAAGGAGGAGGAGAGAGGCAGACTAACACAGCTGAAGGGAGTGCTCTGCCTTCAGCAAACTGCTCCAGGAGCTCTGTTCTACCACTTGCCAGGAGCTGTTATGCTTGTTGCTAGTTCAGTAGTTCTCCTTCTGAACATGCATTGTTCCATTCAGGAGGGAAACTTAATCTGTGTAAATATTTAACGTATGTCATAAAAAGCACCAATCATAAAATGCTGAAATCTTCCAGAGAGAATGTATGCTTTACTTAAGTCTTGTATTCTTTACAGGAAAACGCTCACTTTTATACTATTTATTCAACAATAAAGAACACCGTCTCTGCCCTCAATTTGTAAAGCAGGCATATTTTTAAGAGGACTGAGTGACAATCTTGCTGTCATGATTTTTGGGGGGGTGGGCTGAAAAAACACCTTATTCTGCATTAGAATGAAAGTAAGTTTAGGGGAGGGAGATTTTTGCTTTGGAAAGCAAAGATCCACACAACTCAGGAAAGCTAGGATATCTGCCTTTGAGGTATTAACCTGACAGATCGGAGTTTCAAATCCCTGCTCTGACTTGGTTCAGGATTCATCCAGTTTGCATATCCTTGCCTCTGCATTGCCTGAAGTCTCTTTCTTGCCTTTTTTTTTTTTTTGGATTGTTTGTTTGTTTTATTTTCTAAAGCGGAAACTGAAAACTGGATCCAAGAACTTTCTCAATGCAGTAGGCATTCTCTCATGTGAGGCTGAGCTGGGCTTCTCTTGCAAGAGCAACATAACGGTACTGCAGGGGATGCTAGGGCCAGATGTGCATGTAGAAAGCCTCGTCTTCCCTAAGCTCTTGTCTGTGGTCCCTCAGTAAGCTCGGACACAATGGAGGAGAAACGTAAGCTACGTGCGCTTTAGGATGGAGAAGAACAGGCTAACATAATGAGCCTGAAAAGGCACTGGAATAGGAAAATAGCAGAGGAGAGTGAAATGCACCAGGGCTGAGGTTAGAGAGGAAAAGGGAGCAAGTGTAGACCACAGATGATTAAAGACAACTGGCCATCAGTCTGGAGGAAGAGCTGGATAAGCAGATGGGGAATGAGATCTAGTTTGCAAGAGGGAAGGAACTGAGAGGAAAAACGGATTACAGCTGTTGAGAAGTCAGATGGGAAGAAAGAAAAGGGTCAGGCTTGGCAGAACAGGAACATAAATACTGAGGATGTCTGAAGGCCAAAACAGAAAAGAGAGAACCTTCACAGACCCGAGCTTGGGAAATTACAACTGGCTGAAGAGAAAGACTAGGAACAAAAAGTAATGGGAATTAGGAATACTGGGAGAAACTAGTGTGTGACTTCAGCTCACACTAGCTAAAGGCAGCCTCATTGGGGACTTTTGGCCTTGTTGGTCAACGAAACGAGAGAGAATGAAAAGGCTCAGAGGGGAAAGGGCTATGATGAAAAGCTGGGAATGAGGGGTGAGAAAAGACCTAAAATGGATCCTAAGATTCCTGTGTCATCAGGAAGTCCATTACGTGGCCAGATCCGCACACAGGGCAACTTCACAGACCACCTCCTGGGGCGAAGTGGAGGGAGCAACCACCTCATAACACCCTGAGGTCCAATAGTGGAGATACTGAAGTCTGAACCACCAGGGTCTGACCCAGGGTCCAGAGTCTGACCCACCAGCATATCAGTGTGATGACACCATGGTAGAATTCTCATCTTCTCAGATTGCCTTTGAAAAAAACAGGAAACTGAACATACCAATCAACTAAAAGTCTAGTGTATCTTTCGGAAAAAAAAATCCTTTGCTTCATCAGCAGTGTTAACCCCACAACTAAGAGCCATACAAATGGAATTTTTCTGTAGAGCTCCTTGGCCACCTCTGTCTTTTATCTCCCCTCCTCTTGTTCCCTTACCTCAAGAAGCCTACCATGATCTGAAAAGTCAACAGGAGCTAGTCTCTGGAATTTCTGTATGCTAAATTTTCAAAGCCAGAGTGATATGGTAAACAACAAGGTTTGTTATATTGAAATCACAAGATGATCATCATTTTATTTTTAAGAACCAAACTGTTCCAATTATGATTACATAGATTATGAAGGATGAAACAACTGAGAAAGATATACGCATTACCATATGTTTCCTTTTTTTTCTCCCAACTTTAAATTGGAAATGTTATACTAACACTGCACTAGCCCATCCCAGAATTTCTCATTTCTTGTTCAGCTTTGGAAAATATGAAAATATGGGTTTTCGAAATTCTTTTTACCAGTTCAGAAGTCTCAGATGGCAACTAACTCATTTAAGTTAAAGAAATATAGACTACTTGCAGTGTATAGTTCTGCCATCATTCTGCTCATGGAACTCCCATTGAAGCTGATGGGACTTCTGCATGCACAATAATAGCAAGAGAAGTAAATTCGTGTTACCAAATGATGTGGCCTGCAATGCTCAAATGCCTAAAAAATGTGAATTGGCTATAAATAGCTTTTTTATTTAGGATTTTTATTTAATCAATAGCAGAGCAGCAAAACTTTCATAAATAAAATTTTAATTGGTATGAAATTCACCTGACGATATTTTGTTGCACAGTGAAAATTCAGACCAGATTCCTGAATACGGCTTCATTTTTATTTTCAAAACAAACTCAGGAAAACCCTGTGATTTTTTTCATGAAACCATGAGAATACCATCCTTCCAACAGTTTGACTTTGGGTTTTCTGCACATATTTGAATGTAGAAGTCAAAGTGAAATTCAAAGAATGCAAACTCACATGAATCAAATCCAAAGGAAAGGTCTACTCGAATTCTTGCATACAGCTTTAATGAGGAGTCATGCCCCATTCTTGCCAATTTCTACATAGCAATGTTGCATCTACCTAAAGGCTCAGTTTCTTTCAATTATTCTTAATTGAAAAAAATGAACTAATAAAAAAGTGTAGATTTTTTGAAAAATGACTTTAAGACATGAATTGCCTGGAAGTGTTCTGGAGTTGAACTTCTCCATACCCTGCTATTCAGATACAGGATTTTGTTCTAATGCATGTATGTATTTTGTATCGCATTCATTTATTTATCCTGCTGAGTACTAGTTTGGTGGGTGGGGTGTTTTTGCATAGCTACTTACAAATAAAGCTTGTAATCGGATGGAAAGTATGTCCCATACATATAATACGGTCTAAGAGGTACACAGCCTCAGGCCCTGTTCATCTCTTAGACTTTCTCTGTCATGCACCTCAAATGAATGCAAGAATTCAGAGCAATACAAGACCTCTACCTGTGGCAAAGGTAATAGCTGAAATCTCAAGGGACATGTTAGCCAATTTGAATGGTAACCAGTAAGAGGGAGGTTTTCTCAGCATGACAAAATCTTAATGCTATAGATGAGGTTCTGGCTCCCTTGAGATCAGTGACAAAACTGATGTTGGAGATCAGGAAGTTTAGGATTGCATAGAGGGCTAATTTGCTGAATGCAGACGCACAAATAAATCATCTAAAAATCCTAAAATTTGAACACAAACCCTTCACCAACTTAAAGGGAGAATGGACACACAAACACAAGCTACTCCACACTCTGAAATGACCCCTTCCACTTTCTGTATTGGCCATTAGCCCCCCTCCTCCTCCATTTGTGCCAGGTGTTTAAGTTAAACCAGTTTGCATCTATTCATGAGAAGCAGAGCTGGATATTAGCACTGCACACTTACAGCAGGTTGTATGAAATGAAAGCAGAGGCAAAGGAGGGTGTCTGAAGCATTATTTAAAACTACACAGATTTAATGATACTTAATTTGAAAAACACACGTACAGGCAGGAGAAAACTCTTAACATCAATATGCTTTACAGCAGGAAAGA